TGAATCAGTAAGTATAACAGCTGAAAGAGAGCTTCATGTTGCCCAGCAGAAGCAACTTAGTCAGCAACTTGCTGCTCAAGTATGTATTTCACCTATTCTTTTTTTAAAGTGAACTATGTTTAGTTCGATGGACATAAATCTTGTAGCTTTTTGAATCTAATTTTCTTAATGGTTAATTTAAGTTGACCGAATGTCGCCGTGAATTAAATGAGCTTCGACGTCATGTGAAGAAGTTGACAAGTAATGAACGGGAGGAAATGCTGCGTTCTTTAGAACTTGAAAAGCGAAGACATATCGAGCAGCTGCTGCAACTAAAGTTAGATTTTTTTGAAGCTTTATTTAGAAAGCAATATAACGATATTTGGATTCACTTGACATTAATATTATGCGCATTTCGTAGGCATGAAGCGTTGGTAGCAGCAATTGCCGAAAAAGATGCTCACATTGCATTGTTGGAACAGTCCAGGGAGAGACCACGCGAAGAGATAGAAACCCTACGCCATCATAAAGAAAAACTGATGGAAAAATTAAAAGAAGAAAATGAACGTCGCGCCCAGCTTCTCAGCTCTGCTAATTTAAGCGTAGGTGAGAGATCGACATTGCAAAATTGCAGATAATATTCTTCAAAAACTGGGGTTCAGGATTGTAGGAAAATATGCATTTTAAAATTATGATTTTTTTACTTATTTGTTTTATGAATATTTAGCCAATGACCTCTCAGAAGAAGGCGGTCTTACTACGATTACAGCAGTCAGTGCTCCAGCAAGTCTTCCTACACCGCGTGAAGCTGTTACTGATCAGGTTGGGTTTCTTTTTGCAAGAAAAACCCTTTATGTTTATCAGATTTAGTAGTTGTGTTCAGAGTAATTTAATGTTACATGTATTAAACACTGACAAATTGTACATTTTTATGACTCTTTCCTGATTTTTTAAATTCGATTTTGTTTGTTTTAACAATGAGTTTTTAGACGAGTATTAACTTTTTAACCTTTATAAAGTAAACTATGAGTGAATATAAAGTGTAAACTATCAGTGAGGCCTTTGCTGACTTTTTCATTTCTTCTAGGAAGATGATGCCGAAGGTATTTGGGCATAGAAGCATTTCAAGCGAAAAAAGAAAATTAGGATTTAACTGCCGAATTTCATTTCTTCCAATCGTATCTTCATTTGTTCAACAATCTTTTTCAGTTCGCTTCATCATCTGTACGGGTTTTCGTAATTTGTAGACATCTGCCAGCTATCGGGTTTTTGATAGTTTTTTGACAGTTTATATTTTCTTATGGTGTTTGCGACCTTACAGTTGGCAATTTATCTGTTTCATTTTTGCAAAGTAAATTCGCTACTGGAAAGGTTACTGATTCATTTTAATTTGAATCACGACTAAGTTCTTCTGGTTCCCTTTTATAATCTTTAAAGTGATGTTTTCGATGTAGTTAAACCACTGCTACTTTCGTTCAGTTAACTATTGATATTCTATATCTTTCATCTTCAACATTATTGATTTTCTACAACTTCAAACAAGGAAATTATTGGATATTTCTTGTTGGTTGAAATCTTTTTGGAGAGAGAGGTTATCAGAACTTTGGTCTGAAGAACTCACACCCATCTGTGCTTGCATGTTCAACTGTTGTCCACTTTACTCAGAATTTTGAAATTAGTTAGGCGAAAGGGGTTCCGTATTGATTGAAAATAAATGCTTCTATTAAAAAAGCAAAAAAGGAAACTTTGCAGTTCATAGATCTTTACATCAGATTTCACTTTTGAAACAAATTTAACCCGTTAAGTTGTGCTGCATTTGCTTTCCTTTTGTTCATGGTGTTCCCCTTATAGTTTATGAACACTTATAAAGTAATTATATGCAATGTCTTGCATTTTATCAATACACACCTAGCTGATAATCTCATTCTCGATGTTTAACAAAGCAGTGAGACCGTGTTCACTCCAACGGTCTTGTGTTTTAATTTGTCTAATAAGTATTTTGGTTTGCTTGGGTTCTGGTCATTACCACCACAACATTTTGCAGTGATAAATTTTGCTAATTTGAAAAGAAAGTGCTATGTTAGGGAATTGGTGATGGAGGGGGGATGAGTTTACCAGAGAATCAAAATTTGAGAAAGAGAGTAGCATACTTGTACTTTTCATTAACATGCTAAGGAAGGCACAGAAGTCTTTTTATCTCTTCCAGGGATTTGTAGATTGGGGATTATGTTGCAGAATGCTACAGGAGAAAATTATCAAACTTCAAAACCCGTATCCAGCTCCTATAGTCAACAGAAAGGGAGCAGGAAATTTTACGTGCACAAGACAGTTGAGAGCGAACCAGAGATACCAGTTTAATGTTCAGAAATACGTGAACCTAATATTTTATGAAAGTTAGTAGTAAAGTCATGCTTTTGTGTTATGATTTTGGAGTAACGGGAGAAAATAGAATGAAGAGTTGTTGTAAAGTTACAAAAAACGGTAGGACAATGGTGTATAGGAAAGGAACGTCGCTTTCCAATAACTTTGCTAATAAATGTTACTTATTGATTCCCTTTTTTCATTTGGTTGAGATAGAATTATGTGGTTGACAGGGCGGAATTCAACTTTTAAAAAGTTATAGTTCTAGTTTTTTCGTGACTTTGATCTGATTTCCATTCATTAAGAGTAACTGTGCATTTGCTTGAAATAACTGCAATAAAAAACCGTTTTGCACACATTCAATTTTATTAATAGATTTATTAATAAGATTGATTTCATTAATAAAATTTGGAGAAAAACTAATAAACCGTGAATTAGGAAGTGCATTTCTTCATGGCTTTTCTCTTACCTGCCTAATTTCAAATTCTCGAGAATGCTAGGATTTGAAATCAGCAAATGAGCAAATCAATTACCTCAAGGTAGACTGATCTCTTATTTTGTATGTATGATGCATATTCTAAAGAGTGTATTATATTCAGAATTATTGCCGATATATTCTTAATTATTATCTTTGCAGCATATTTTGGTTGTGAATTTCATTTTCTCTCATTCCAAAATATTCAGTAATGGTGTAATGGACAAATTTGATAAATCCATTCCATTTGGCCTAATATAAATGTTGAGTTTTTGAAGAAATTTTAGCAGATTTTGAATTTAGTGAAAACGAAAAGAGCATAACTGGAATGGTAACGAAGTGAGCACTGCAAACAAACTGTACTTTTTATTTGCTTGAAAAGGTAACATGGTTTTTCGTCAATCATTTCGTTATGAGAAGATGCATTGAATTTCATTTGATCTGTATGCTCAGAAAATATTCTCGATAACAAAAAAAAAAGAAGTTTTAATAGCTTTTGAATTGTTTTGTTTGCATTCTTCCCTCTATTTATTGTGTATTTTTATTATTTACCATCGTCACTGAGCATACTTCAACTACCATTGCCGGTTGCTTTTATTATTTATCGCGCCACCAACCAGCACAGAAATGACTCAACTATTGTGTTTTCCTCTCTTACAGCATTTGAGAGGTCGAAGTTTAGATTATCTCATTGATACTGTGTGTCGTCTGTTACATTCTAGTCTCGTAATTTGATTCATTCCTAATGATTTTGTTTAATTTCTTGTTCTCGACATTAATTTATTTGTGATGTGCAACATTTGTTGCCATCTCCAATATCAGATTAATTTCTTCCAGTTAAGAGAACGATTAGTTGCTTTATTAATGTGTTGCAAAATTAAGTGTTGTTTAATTTGAAAATGAAATTCGGACGTCGATAATTATCTCTAATCATATTACTAAAAGCATATTTGCATAAATTAAAATTTTTACTGATACTGAAATAAGGCGTTGGTCGAAGGAATTGTTGTAAATAACTGATCAGTGTTTTTTTCAAGTAATCCGTTTTTTGATTTAAACTCAACAGCTGTATTTATCCTGGCATCTATTTTTATCTAGTTGACGGATCCATTTTATTTTAGTAAAGATCATGTTTCATATTTGAATTTTTACATTTCAAAAATTTTACTTCTACTGAAAAATTTATTGGACAGGACTTGAGAACCTAAAAACTCTTAGTTCGTTTAGGAAAACAAGAGATTTATCGGCACCTTCCTGCTCTTCTTCCCCTCTTCTGCCCAACTATTCAAGTGAAACGTATCAAATCCAGTAGCGCCAGATATACACGATTCCGTACTGATGCTTTCTGTAATACGTCTGCTTATCTGAATGGCTTAGCATCAGCCGGTTAACATATCATTCGGCATTGAAGCCTTCCAAAATGTTTGTTGCCATGTTTCCACACACAGGTAACTAACTGTATGACTACGAATGCTATTCATTTTTTAACCGGTTAAAATGTGAAACATCTTCCTGGTCTTCGGTTTAAAGATGATTGATTCTATCTGCGGAAAGGATTCGGTAACATTTCTTTCTCCGTCTAATCCTGCATACCTTTTCTCGTTTTTAAAGAGTCGATGTCTTTGGATGGATTATATAGGAGTGCTGCAGTTTGCAGCACAAGAAGCGCATCGATGTGTTGCACTCAGCAAATCTGTCCACCTGATGTTCTGCGTCGTCGGATGATGTATGTCTATAAAATTGACCTCCTGCATTTGCGTGTCTCACCATGTTGCATTAACCAAATTTCCTGAGCTAGGCTATACTTTTCTTTTTAATATCTCATACTAGTCGCTCCCTGCCTAAATTCCTTTAACTTTTCCACAAATTCTTCCCACATTTTGATATTTGAATTTTATTTAGTTTATTGTTATACGGCATCAGTTAGCAACTTATCAAATAAACAACCACTTAGTGGGTTCATTTTATTCCTTAAATAACAACTCTTTCCTTCCTCAATGCATTGTAGTAGGTTATTATGATTCCCTTTTTATCTGAAATTCTGTTTCCATCCTTTCTCTCATGTTGCAGTTTTACCATCAGCGAATTCACATCTATTTGGTAAAAGGTTGATGCACTACGGTCACTCACTATTCATTGTTGTTTGACGAAAGCAAACACGCTGAAAATTTGCAGTTAAAACGTAATGCGTGAGCACGTAGAACGTCACGTAACAATTGCCGATCCCCTGCCAGATGCTTGCAATGGTTTAACATCAGTACGTAATGATCTTAGCAATAGGTAATTGTTCTCTCTCTTTTCATAAAGTAATTATCATTATGGAATGAATCTTTTAGTTTAAGGAACCTGATTTCATTTCGTATTTTCGCATGTCGTTATTTACGTCTTAACTTTTTTTTGCTCTGTCCCCTGCATTTACGTAATTAAGATAAATTTTTTATATATTGTTTAGCATATTGATCTAATATTTTGATGTTTTTTGTGTTTACCGTCAGAAGTTTTAGTGGTTCTGCAGCTCCACCTCTCCCTTTACACCGACCTATGCGTACTATTTCGGGCTCAAAATCCGAAGATCATCTTATTACAACAGAAAGTGGACGTGTAAGTAAAATTTCATAAGAATATTTTTCACTCTTTTCCCAGTTCCCTTTATTTTACTTTAGTCATTTTGTTAATGATTTTCATACATTGTTTGCTTAAAAGCAGATGAGTTACATTTCCGTTCTTTCAAAGTACATTTAGAAAAAATTTTTATTTTAACCATTTGTTACTTTTTGATAGCTTATAGCGTATATATACGAAAGGTCGTCCACCGTGGTATGACCGAGAAGGAAAAATTTTGAAACAACCATATGTGGTCGGCATCTGCGGCGGCTCAGCTTCTGGCAAAACTACTGTTGCCAGACGAATAATTGAGCGATTGGAAATGCCCTGGGTTACCGTTTTATCCATGGATTCTTTTTACAAAGTACTTTTTTTAATCTAATTTTTCATCCTTATTTTCTTTTCATCTTTTGAGTGATAGACTATCTGGCCTTTTAAACTGTCTTAAAAGTTTTTGTGCTTAAATAGGATATTAAAGGTGCTGACAGATGGACAGCATCATCTCGCGGCAAAAAGTGAGTATAATTTCGATCACCCACAGGCTTTCGACTTTGATTTAATGTGCGAAACTGTTCGACGTCTTCGGGAAGGTAAAAATGTTGAGGTATGTTGTTTTAAAGTTTTAGGAAATCCAAAGTTAGCGAATTTCTTCAAAAGTTCGAGACAGTTGCTTATAGGTTCCAGTTTATGATTTCACTACTCACCGACGTGACAAACAACCAAAATTAATGTATGGCGCCGATATACTCATTTTCGAAGGCATTTTAGCTTTCCATAACAAGGAATTGGTTGATTTATTGGATATGAAAGTATGGTTGATTGATTACATATATATGTTTTTTTTTTTTTCTTCCTTTTTTGAACAAGGAAAGGCTTAAAGGCATGTCGTGCATTTTTTTTATTGACAATGTTAAGGTATTTGTGGATACCGATCCGGATATACGGCTAGCACGAAGACTGGAAAGAGACATCCAGGATCGTGGACGAGATCTTCCAGGTGTTTTAACCCAATATTTGCGGTTCGTAAAACCGGCCTTTGATACGTTCATAGCACCTGGTATGAAGATTGCAGACATTATTGTACCACGAGGTGGTGAAAATGAAGTAGCCATAGACCTTATTGTTAAGCAAGTAAAAACTCAGCTCGCTGAAAGAGGTAAATAGCTATTTGATTTTCACTTTTGTGTTTTGCTGAAATGAAATTTCTTACCAACGAAGATGAATGTAATATCTTCACAATATATTATTAAAATTTAAGGTTATGATGCATCGAAGAATCCTTATTCTCAGCGTGCAGGGATGGTACAAAAGGATTTACCGTTACAGTTGCCACGTACGTTAACAGTTGTGTCACAAACACCACAAGTTCGTGGCTTACATACATTTATAAGAGATCGTAAGACTCCAAGGTGAGATATTGTTAGTTATGCAAGTTTTTTTTTTTTTTAATTAAGAACACTTACATTTAAACATTGTTTAATTAATAGTAAGGAACATCATCCGTCAGCTTTCCAGTCTTCAGAGATGAATTCAATTTCTATTCTAATCGGCTAATGCGAATACTGATTGAAAATGCTATGAATTTTATGCGATTCGAGGATGCGACAGTTACTACACCAACTATGGAAAAGTATATTTCAGTTGAAATTAAATTCTTACGTTATGAAATTATTTTAAAACTTATGAAGACTATGAAAACTCTGGAAATCTACATGAGTGGGTGAATCACATATTTATATTTACAGATTCGTTGGTAAACGGAATACTGCACAGATATGCGGTGTTACAATTATGCGTGCGGGTGAAACAATGGAACATGCATTGAGAGCTGTTGTAAAGGATTGCAAAATGGGAAAAATTTTGATACAAACCAATGAGAAAACCATGGAACCGGAGTTATTCTATCTGCGCCTACCGAAGAATATTCATCAATATAAAGTCCTATTGATGGATGCCACCGTTGCTACAGGTTTTTTTTCTATTTTCTATAGTTTTTGGATCATGATCCAGGCAGGTACTGATAAGATATGCCATGCACCACAGTTGCTTTCAGTTTTTAACTTTTCTGAAGTTATTTCGTAGTTTTACTTTCACGTCCATGTCTTTGCTGGATTGATTTAACCTCATAAATTGTATAATAACTTTCTTGGCTCTTTGAAGTTTCAGAAAGTATATTATCATGCTATGATATTGCTAATAGTTCTTGTCCTATTGTCTAAGATGTTGAATAGTCTTAGCAATGTAATGTGTGTCTGTTGTTATAGGCGCAGCGGCAATGATGGCTATTCGTGTACTATTAGATCATGATGTACTTGAAGAAAATATTCTACTACTATCGCTGCTTATGGCTGGAACTGGTGTACATTCACTTGCTTATGCTTTTCCTAAAGTATGTCTCAAATCTTACTTTGCTAATCAAAAATTCTTGCTATTTCAACAACGGTCATGCTATTCATTGGTTTCCAGGTTACTTTATTGACAACTGCTGTAGATCCGGATATCAATGAACTGTACTATGTCATTCCGGGAATGGGTAATTTTGGCGATCGCTACTATGGTACTGAAGCAGTAGCTGCATGTGATGATTCCTCAGGTGATGAAGATAACAAACAGCCTTAGCATTTTACAAAGCAAAAGAAGAAAAATAACTATCATTTTCCACTAATAAATATTTTGTTTGATACTTTTTACACATGTTATTTATTTCGAAATATTTTTTAACCATATGTTCTTATGTGCGATTCATATTTAATTGCCTCCTGTTTGATGGTTGTTTCATCCCTTCCTCATAAAATTGTCAATGAATTGTGGTATTTATAACAGGGAATAAGGCTTAGTATCTTAAACTTGTGTTTCTTAATTAATCCATTGATAAGAGATTAGTGGCAAGAAATCATGGGAATGTTTTCCCAAAATTTTCCACTATAGTGTTTCCAAATCGATTTTTATGTGAAGAGGTGCATGTAAACCGCTTTTTGGAGATGAGCGTTTTTCTTTGTGCTTTTCTGTCGTTATCAATTCTATATTCAATCAAATTTAAGAATTTCTTACAAAAAAATTTTTTTAATTTCTGGTATATTATCGTAATGATTGTAATATTATTTATGTGTAGTTGATTATGTAATGTTATTTACTTTTATTTATGTTCTCATTATTTTTATTTCGCAATGAACTTACGTTAACTAATTTGTAGTTGTTGATTATTGCACTTATTGTGCTTAAAAAAGGGAATGATATTTCGTTGTCTTTCCAAATTAAAAAATTAGCGTAAGAATTAACTCATCACAATGAACTTGAAATTTATGATTTTGTTGCTTGGAAATGAAGATGTTTACTAATCTTTTGTTAGTTTTCTGTAACTTCTCAAAGCACTTCGGATGAGTGATAGGCTTTGATTTTTATTGGTATTCAGTTTTGTATTGTTATTCATTTTGTACTTCGTTGTGTATTAAAAATGTGGTTCCTACAAATTTCTAAGCGGTATACGAAAGATGCTGAGGAAAAACATATTGTGCAGAGGAGGTCGTTGGAAGTAAATTCTATTTCTAAAATGAAAAGAAATTTAGTTTTAGAGAAACGATAGTTTCAAAGAACAATTGTTTATCAAAGCTTCCAGGTTTGGAATTCGAAACGATCAGGGATGAGAATGGTAATTGTGCATTGATACTTGATGCAAGTTTTTCCAACTTCTAGAAATTTTCCAGATGGTTGAAATCGGATGCTTTTGCATTTAAAAAATCCTACTATTAATAAGCTACAAATGAATGACAATGCAAGTTTCAAGGTATGACTATTCAGCTGCTCTAAGATTATAGGGCATTTTTATATAAAAATGCGGTAAAAAAAAAGAACTGATGTGAGACCTTGCATTTATAACGAATAAATTCCATTTTTTTCAAAACTTCCGAAATGTAAAACATGATTTAGGAATTGTTTGGGTTGCTGGAATGAGATCATAAATAGTTATTGAAATCCTATAAGTGCTGGTTAATAACTTATAAGACTTCTGGATGAAAAAAAATAGGATAAGAAAAGACGAAGTATTCTAATATTGGGAAGCTAGGTAGAAATTAATAATTAAATTAAAATAAATTGTTTACCATACCTTGATGAAAAAAGACCAGAAAAAATATATTTTGGAAAGATTTAAATTATTGGGAAGGTCATCCGCTTAATTTCATTTGCTTCTCAACCATAAATAAATTGCCGTGTTCTTTTGAATTTTTCTCCATATCTTTTCCTTCTAGCATTAATCCGGGTGCGTTTATCTAGCGATGCATTTTTTTTTTTTTTATTACCTTAAAAAATTCATCAAACTGCCGACACAATAGTTTATCATCTTTCTATTTTTCTCATTCTTATTTCTTTACACACTTTTGTTTTATTTGTCGCTTGAAGTATATCCACTGATTGAAAATGTTTGCGTTCAGATTGCTGTCAATTTCTGGAACTGTTACATTTCGACAGCAGTGGACTACTTTAAAGCAGTAAACTTTAATGCATAAGTGGAATTTTAAAAATATTTTAAAAAAAAAAAAAATATAAAAATATTATTTTATTTTCTCAATTACAAAATTTGAATTCACCTTTTCATTATTTGGTTTCAAAAAAGCTGCTCATTTGATATTATAATATTCATATCCAAAGATTTTAAAATTCGCTACAAAATTTACATAAAAATTGGATTGATCATAGTATAAATAATGCAATACAAATAAAATGTTCTGAAATACTTGTTATAAAAACTACAAATGATTTAAGCAAAATCGGCCATCTGAGCTGTCCTAACTGCTCCTTCAATTCATTAGTTATTTGGTATAAGTTGATGGACCAAATGATTTGTAAATGAAAATATTTGATTTTGAGATTATTGAAGATAGAGTGTTGCATTTATTTTCCTCTTTTCTGTTTTTTTTTTTCTTTTTTTCCTTCTCTTTCACATCCCTACAATCAGTTGTGATGGCCATTTTTCGTTTCTTTTTTAAAAAGTCGAAATAAGATTAGGAAGCACTCACTATGATTTCCAAAGGAAAAAATTCCAGATGTACGTATCATCAATGTCATCATTGAATTATTTGTCGGTCTTGGATTTGAAGATCTCAAACTATTACAAAGCAAACGGGTATGCTCTCAACTGGACAGCCTATTATGTAATCACGATTCCAGCTCGTGTCTACCTGTAGCAACTTTATTTATGTTATGTTACCAAGATTATGCACACTTTACCCAGTGGAGGCTTTATAACTCAACAATTCTTCGACAATTGTTTTGCCTAATGATCATTGGTGGATAGCTCAATTTTTAGAGGTAAATGAAAAATTTCCTGCATAAAATAAAAATCTGTATTCTGTTATCGCAACAAGTTCTGGTTTTTCAGGCTCGGAAATGTGCTTCAAGCTCAGAAATGCTCAAAAATGTAACTGATTGCAGCAGATTGACATTATTAGACGCTGACTTATTTAAAGAAAACACAAACTAAAATTAGTTCAGGTATTGAGCTAGAAAATTCATCTCACGATATATATGAATTCAATATTTCATGACTTGCAATGTAAATTAATTAAACCTTTGATATTTTCTAATAATATGTAAGGGCACATGTTGTCAATCATCTCCCTGTTCATTTTATTTTCCAATTACTTAATTTATTTTTCAGAGAATCACATTCATTAGTATCAACACACGAGCCATCTGATTACGCTTGGCGGATCGTTGGAAGGTGAAACAACAGTCCATGTACGAGCTGAGTGCCGTTCTTGTTTTTATGTTCACTTCTTTGCAGCAATTTTTGATGATCACTGTGTTTACTATCTAAAGTGTTCAAAATAAATATTTGTGAAATGGAAGCCCATCACTTGTTCCCAAATTAATACGAATTTGTCATTGTGAATAAAAGTTAGGTTTTTTAAATATGTTAATAAAATTTCCAGATGGAACGTTTAAGGAAAATCACTGCATGTTTCAAATGTCTTTGAACAGCATGCAACAAGTGATTGCTAAAAAGGGAAACTTTTGTGCTTCCATTATAAACGTTCACACAGTACGGCACTGTGTATCTTACTTGCAAGAAAGTTAAGCAAACAGTGGATTCCAACAAGGAAAAACTGGATTCGCTCACAATCGCTAATTCTGTTACCGAAAAGGAAATTCAAGAAATAAATGTTATCGATCCCAGGCGCCCAGAAATTTAGCTCTATTTGATATTGCTTCTCAATTATTGTTCATAGCAAAGGAATTGGCATATTGATTAAATCTATAAAGAACCAAAGAAATGGAGCTAAACACTGCTTCATTTGGAAATAAGACAACAAAAACGTATCTTACTATTGGAATAAGGAAATAATCCAATTAGATGCAGTAACAGTTTCCTACTTGACGAATGTAATTACAAGTAGTTGGTCTAAACAAAAAGGGATTATCGAAGATAAAGAAATAAAATCAATTAAGCAACTTCAAAGGCCAATGGAAACAACCGGACATTCTCATGGTTGCTTATCACTTCTTTAAGTTTATTCAGTTCGACAAAGTAGAGAACTTAAGATACGGATCTTCCTTGATCCATACAAAGGTTGAATCTATGCTAGTTGTAAGTGGATATATAAATGAAGTTCACAACAATAAAACCATATCAGTGGACCATGCTTATCTAGTCAATACCATCAATATTCTAAACGTTTTCGGAAACTGGAATTAATTGGCATTTAAGATAAAACAAATGCTGGCAATGATGAAAAGTAACAAACAAACTATCACTAGGAACGAGGAAGATGTCAAGAATCTGTTGGCCTTGGAAAGACTCAAAGAACCAACTGAGCAATAATTTCGGACTTTGCTTTGGAAGATTAAAGTCGTTAATTAGAAGGCTGCAAATGAAACCTCAATTACCGGGTCGATATAATGAAACCATTAACTCAATTCCAGTATAATCGAGAAAGTATCACCGGAAGTGAATGAGGTTTTTATTATCTACCCCACCACAAAGAATTAGCACCCAATAAAACCACAGCAAAACTGCGAATCGTTTATGACATCAGCTGATTGTAAAGGAATGAAAAGTTTCAATAATGTTTTATATCGGCAGCAGATAACACTTCCTGATTTAATTGAAGTACTGTTACGCTTTCGCACGATGAAAAATGTGATAATAGCATATGTAGGAAAGGCATTCTTGCAAATAGAATTGCATCCAACGGACAGAAACCACTAACTTAAGTAAATTTTGACGATTGTGTCATATTGCGTCCAACTGACTTCATATTGTCGAACGCTCCTCTAATTATGCCTACTTGCATGAGTTTATCCTTCATAAATTGACAAACAAAAACATTCAAGAAAAACTCGTGCAGTAATAGACGAATACATTAAAGGCCCTTGATACCTTCTGGGGAATATGGAAAGACGAGTAGCTGACTAGTCTTAAAGAGAGGACCTAAAGAGAACATTCCTCTCCAAGCAATGTAGTAAGAAGAGCTCCTCATGAGGGAGAGACTGTGTTAATAAATGAACTAGAAATTCCCCGTGGCATGTGGAAATTAGCCAGGATAAAGCAAATTAAAAGAAGAACGGATGGAGAAGAAACAAATGTCTCAATAGAATTACCACAAAGAAACTCAACGGACAAATATGCTGTAGCCACTGGAATCAACAAGGAAGGAAATTCGGATTCTCAACTAATAGTATTCCACAAATCAATTCAAAGTGTTGACAAACAAGAACCTGTCGCTCGACGAACTAGAAATGCTATGAACCGACACATTCAAACAAAGCTGTCCAACCATCCTTAAAGTATCCAGCTCCTTCAATCAGGAATGCCACGAACTCGAAAGAATCTCGCGAGCCTCCAAATAACTTATAAAATATATTAAATAAAAATATACTAATCCATAATACTAAAACCTGTCTTAATTGGACATTAGAAATGTAAAACTACTTCAAACTGCCTCACATAAGCAATCATTATGCCAAGACTCATCTTCCCATTATAGCCGAGCTTATGTGCTTATCTAGAAAATTTCAACAGTCAACAAAGGGTATGTGCATTGTTTAATATGTTAAAAACTACTCCTTTGTTCTAATTCAAATTTACTTACGACGTTGAAATACTGTAAAGCTTTTCCATGCTAATAGTGATTCCTGGAGGAATTGACAATGTTAAAATCCAACCCTTACTACATGAAGAGAAAAGATCATCTGATAGCTAGCTCTTACCTCAATGTAATCATGCGCTTGTTGCAAGTGAGTGCTAACTGCATATGGAATTAACTTGTCTAGATAGTTTTTTTGTACCAACACGTTATAGTTCGACTGCTCTCCCGCGCTCATTTAATTCAGTTCATTTAAATCCCTTAAGTTCCCCATCAATTCATTCATTTTCTTCAGTTCATTTGTAGATACTCTAGGAATTATCACCGTATTGTTGCTATAGATTAATACTTGTGTATCGTGGCTGCAAAAGCATTACAATAGGCTTTTCATTCAACGCATTCGTCTATATCAATTACAGCAAGAAACAAAGGCTCTTGAACATAAGAAAGTTCAATTCTGCTCTGAGCCAGAAGTTAGACTGAACCCCCCAGTTTCACAACAAACATATAGGAGAACGTATGTAAAGATATGTTCGATTCAGATCTTGAAATATTCAACAAGCGACTGCGAAGATAGAAGGATTTCGAAAAGTGAAACAGAAAAATTGTAAAACTATGGTCAACAGAAATAAACACAGAAGTAGCATTTTCAACAGAAATAAACATAGAAATAGCATTTTAGAATTATTTTGTAAAAAAAAAATAACCATAGAGCACAATGCATTGTTATTTCAGGATGTGCATATATTTCAGCAGTTAAGTCAGACAATATCCAAAAATATGTTATATGAATATACGAGAGTTGATTGTGTCGTTTGAGAATAAGAAAAGCGTTGCGAAACTCAGTTTTTTTAACGCTGTTTTCATCAACTTTGTGGTCCTTTTCTTGAATACGCATTAAGTGGTCATTCTTCCTTCAAATCTATTCATTAAGCTTTGTTTGATGGTAAATGTCATTTTCATACCGTTGCTGAATATCTGGGAAAACGTGTGAGAAAGCAGATTACGCACTGCAGAACGATCTATGTGAATGGGTTAGAAGTAATGAAGTAATGGTGTTAGTTTCCCTGACATTGTTCTGAAACACGTGGAAAACTGAATGTTTAAAATATTTATTTTGATATAAATGAGACTGATATAAACCACATTTATTGTGCTGTACAATTTAAATAAAGAATTATTGTTCATTGCCATATGCTTCATTACAGATTGATAACAAGAAAAGTATAGTCTAGATAGAGCATATAACAGAAAGGCAGTGATTCTTTCGGAGAAAAGAAGGAATTCTAAAGGCGTGAACTGATCATCAAGAGTTGTTCTCGTCTCATAGAAGGGTGATCGATGGTAGATAGCGCTAGTGCTTCCCTAAATGCTTAGTGGAAAACAGAAGTGATAACTGGCAGAAATAAAATGCTCAAATGCTGTTGGGTTTTTTAATTTCGAATGATATCAACAAAAAATCGTGCTCAGTTTTATGGAAACAACCGATTAACCAATCCATTCCCTTCAAAACAGTTCTGTTTTATTTCTGATTTCCCAACAAATAATGCAATGAAATAAATTAGGAGTGACATTACTTTAGTTGGATCGTTCATATGCATACTCACTGTTGAAAATATAAAAACCGCGTAGTGATGTAAATAGAGAAAGAGACATACATAGTTGAGTGTGAATTTTATCAATCGGGCAGTATATGAATTAGGGGCAAATGATGTAATATAGATATGGTTTATTGGTATTAGATGGAACAAGCGATAATATGATAGTTAATCATTTGAATCCATACAGGTATTCCATAAAATTCCTGGAAATGCTTAAAAGACGGAATGAATTGATAGCTGTGAAAAACAAGCAAATGTAGAATACGGAAATATTTTCCATTTGTAAAATTTCTTTGTAAATTTCCTACTATTAAAAGAATTCAAGAACTTACTGGTCCTCTTCGATATCGATATGATGGCCTTGTTCCAATTCTTTCTGTTTAACGGAATATTTACTATCTCGTTGCCGTTCGCAGCAACACATTACTGATGCAGTGAATAATGCAAACATTATTGCACTCACTACTGCGATGAACCAGGCTGCACTTTGCAAGCTTTCTGCAAATATTAAATGAAACAAAAGTAGTCAGTCTCCTCATTCACTACATTGGACGGTAGCAAAAACCACAAATGTGCATGTAAATAGATCTCTTGATATTACTTCAACTTCATTTAGGACTTTTCGTAGCATCAAAGAGTCAAAAAGTTCTAGTGTCGCAATACTAACCAGCCACTTTTATCTTCGCATATCGACTAGACTTCCAGGTCGGATTTTGTGTTAGACTTAGTCCTTACATTCAAGCACACTTTTTCTGAACAATTAGAATATGAAGAAACGGCACATATTGGCGCTCTAGACATTCTCATCAACGTGAAATCTCTTTCCACGGCACGCACATATCATTCAAAATCGAGTGACTCTCGAAATTTATAGAAGTATAAAAGCATCCATACCATGAGAAATGTGTGTAATCGTAGCTCGACTTAGGCTTCGCATGGTAATTATTTCGGATGCTCGCTGCCTTTGACCTTCCTTAGCGATACCAATCATTTTATATCGTGTGTCTTCTTCTAGATCGCTTAACCATACTTCAGTTCGAGGCAAACTTATTTGTTCACTTTCTATCCAATTATTGCTGTCTAAATTTTGCTAAAATTAAAGAGAAATGAATTCTCCATTCCTACAATAATTACAACAAATACGGAAGTTTCAAATTCACTCAACTTTTTCTTAGATTGAAATCTTACTGGCAATAGAATAATTGACAAGAAAAATAGGCCCTGGCATAGCCCATTCGGAACCATTCGAAGGCAACCATTGAACTCGAGCCGTTGTAGGCGAAATTGCTTCGACGGTGAAATTTGGTACATCCGGTTCTGCAAACATGCTTAAGAACTAAGAATAGTGTGGAAAGATCGGTTTCATTTTTTGAAGAAGGAAATAATTGACATGTACCAAATATTATATAATGTTCTGGAAGTTCCATAAGCCTTATACGTGAAGTTCAGGATGAACAGAGCAAAATAATGAAAACAATAACAAAAATGTTTTTTTCCCGTTTGCACGAAGAGTTTATTTTAGTAAATTATCCTAGCAGTCTTTATGCATTCCATTTTTTCCATCACCTAAAATCCCGACATTTTTGCATTACTAAAATGAATGATAAAATACCTCGAAGTGGCCAAGTTCGTACTGGGCGAACAACTTTTGGTCCTTCACCACCTTTCGTTTCTGCCCAAACAGAAACCCTATAGCCAGTGTCTGGCTCACCTTCTTCATTTAAATAATAAAGTTGTCGATTTAGTACAAATGTTTCTTCTTTTACGCCTGTCGAGGAATCTTAAAATTTATTTCACTGCTTCTTTAAAAATTGTTGAAGACGTATTACAATTAGTGATAAGAAAGCCTAAATAACTCCCATTGTTCAATACTGGAATTCAAGAGTCGAAAAAATATCGTACTTTCAAAAGTAATGAAATAGCCGCGGACGTATCCATTTGGTTGTCGCGGTGGTTCCCATGTAACATACAAGCTTCTTGCTCCAACTGCTCGTACTCTCATATTGTGTACCTTGGATGGAACTAAAACATATATAATATTAATTAACAGATTTACTGAGATCACATCAGCGGTCGAGAATCCCATATTTCTTACTTCCTTCAGGAGTTGTAAATTTGATTATTGATGGAGATTCACTTAGGTATCGACTATTCGCTGTTCTAATACGTGCCGTATAGTTTGTCATAGGCTTTAGATCATAAAGAATCGTCTCATTCTTATGTTTTTCAGCTCCAGCATTCATTATAGCAAATGGCTTCTCATTTTCCCAATAGTCAATCTGGAACGAAAAAATAAAGAAATGTTAAGAGGAGAAAGTTACTGTGACTTGCTCATATCTTGACTATTCGTTGTTCTAATAGTGTTAAAAAAATATGACTTTACCAGATAACCTTTGAAATGACCACGCACACTGTCTCGATCCACGTGTTTCCATATAAGAAGAACAGCAGTACAATTTATGAATTCAGACACGCTGAAATCAATCGGCGACAACAGTGGTGCTGCAAAAACATAATGCTTATAATAATGTTCTAAAACCCGAAAATATTCTTTACTTCCGCACTTAAATTCTAGAAAATTTACTGTCTTCTCCTGAATATCCTTTAACACTCGTTGGTTTCACAACTGCGCGACCAAAACTATTCAGAGATTCAACTTGAATCAAATATTCTCTGAATGTTGGCTGTTCGCGAATAACTGTATAATTCTGAAAACTTATAATAAATGTGCGATTCCTTTGCAATCACCTTGACTAAACAAATAATATTCAAAAAACCACTTACGGCTAAAGGATCTTCAATTCGTATTTCTGTCCAAGCTTCCCCTGGTTTATTAAACTTATAACGGACGATGTACTGTAATCCTGGTCCGTTCCAATCATATTTATCCATAGGCTTCCATTCGATAATCATATTGTTTGGTTCACTGCCTTCGGCTCGGACATCCTTTGGATTTGTAAATGGATAGTAAGCTTTCGTGGAACACACTATGCCTTCTTTGAAGCCGGGTTCACTTTCACCACGTGAATTCCGAGCTATTATACGAAATGTATAATTTACCTAAAATACAATTGTTCGTCTATAAATCTACAGTCAAGAAATTATTTTTAATTTGTATTTTGCCTCAAAGTAAAAATTTTAAATCCTGACCCACGGTGAAAGTGCAATATCAGCCTGATAAAAATCGGCAGCAGTATTTTCTTCCTCCACAACAGTTTGCCACAATCCCTGAAGTTGAAAACATGGCTTTCTTCAGAAAATGAAGAATTCTAGACGGAATTTTATTTCGAACGGAACACACTTCTTCAAATTCAGTATGCATTTGAATGAGAAACTGTTTGATTTGGTCACCGTGGTCATCTGGTCGACGCCACCTTAACATCGCTCTTCGCTCGTTGCAGTTTATTCCTGTTATTATTGGAGCAGCAGGCACATCTGTAAATTTGGATAATTAAACTGAAATGTGAACAAATGTTTGATCTATCCTATCTATAATACAGAAAAAGTTATAAGAAATAAGTAGAATTTTCAAGTATTCAAGAAGGATTTTAAAAATTTTTATTTTTTTACTTTTTCACATACACAGTTTTTTGTTTTGGCAAGTTTTGCCGTTTTCTTTTCCAGCAAAATAATACTTTCTAAAACAATTTTTTTTTTTGAAAACTTTTCAAAAAAATATACAAAATGAGGGAAGGTGAAAATAAATCAGCACCAAGCACAGTTAATTCAATTCCTGAAATCTTGACGTCAACATCGGTAAGAACAATACAATCAATGGTTCCTGAATGAAAGCCACGAGCATTAACGATTAACAGAGAATTGTTTAATAGCCTGAAATTTTTTAAACTTAATGTATTTCAAATTTTCGTTCTACTCAGAACTCAGTAGGTTGAATAATCAAAAATGGAAAATAAAAAACAAAAGTTAATGAGAATAGAAAAGATTATCATGGATCCAGAAATAAACTTTTCCGAAATTATATCAACAAAACACTTCAAAAACTTGTCAGAAAGAACACACTTGAAGTGGACAGAATCATTAATTGGTATTCCATTATGGGTCCAAGAATATTCAATCGTAAGCCGTGGATCACAAACTGCTTCACACACATATTCCACTGACTCATGCGCTTCCAATATTGACTTCTTTGGACTTGGTACACGAATAAAATGTGTTGGATCTAATAAATAAACAGCAAATAAAGCACTAATTGAAGAGAAAAAAGGAAAAAATGTTTGATCAATGCTTTTTAATAATTAGGCTTAATACTAGTTAGGAAAAACTTTACTGAAAACTTGTAGTTGATTAACAGCTCGATTGATACCATACTTGTTCGATACATTGCAATAGTAAAGGCCTTCATCAGCCGAATTTACTTGCGATATGCGCAATGTGTGATTGGGGAAAATCTGGAAAGAAATATGGATTTCAATGACTGCTACTTAATCGTAAGAAAAATTCAAATCATCTGAGCATCAATTAATTTTAAGTAGCAGTTTCAGGTTATTTGGATATTTATGTCTGCAGGAATACTGTCGGAACTATTATCGCATAAATTATTGTGTACTTTCATGAATGACACAGCACCAGAAGGCGGAAATATTGAGAGATTTAAAAATTTAAAAGATTATGAAAACTTTTGCATCACTTTCTACAGAAGATATCGCCAAATTTTGTGTTAGAATTAATAATGTAAGCAGACTAACATTGATTTTTTCGAGAACAACAGCAATGGAATGATCATTAGTGTCTACCCATTTGACCACTGCTTTCGGTGCTGCTTCAACATCGCACGACATCTCTACGGTTGATTTACGCACCACATTCCAGATACGGTGACTTGGCATTTTGAAATATGGAGCATAAGCTACAACCAATTCAAATCTGGTTTCAATTTGGATTTTATAAAATTCTCCTAGGTTATAAATTTTTAAGTTAGGTAGATATTTGTCAAATCAATAAATGAGAATCCCGTCTGTGTTGTTCAGCGCCTTTAATTCACAATGGTAGAGTTTAAAATGATAGCTTCACGTCAGTCTTACCCATAATCAGAAAGTATAGAAATTACGCGAAGTATTTTTTATCAAGCAAAAAGAAAAAATCTTCCATGTTCGAAATATATGGCAGAATGGAATGAGTTGTTTCAGATTTGAATAGGATAAAGTTACGATTTGAAGCAAGCGAATGTCATAACAATTCAGTCGTATTACCGCGCACATTCACGAAAGCATTTCCAAAAACGTATCCAAACGGATTCGATGCATTGCACTGATATACGGCTGTATCAACATCATGATCCAAGTTTACGATTCGTAATATCTGACCACTATTTAAAATCATACGTCGATCATTGTCTGCCAACTCTATAGCAACTATTACAACTGATGATTAAGTCACAAAACTGAAGTCAAATCCAAGTTAAACTAGAAAGAGTGAATAATCTAAAATCGCACAACATTATCAGAATCTGAGATGTGTGGAGCAGTAACAAACAATTCGATTGTTATACATCACAATAATTAATACTAAATACTAACCTTCTAGAAAAGATAATTCTTCCACAAATAGTAAAATGCAAGTAAATAAGATTTTTCACACCTTGTAAAATCATTTTAACAGAAACTCGAAGTATTATGTACATTTTTTTTTTTTTTTTTTTTTTTTTTAAGGACTGGTCAATAGTTCCTATGAAATCTCTTTTCAAAAAATATTGAAGTACATTAAAACATCAAATCAGACCATGTAAAGGTACACCATTGATGAACCACTGAATGATGGGTGTTGGGATGCCCGATATTGTGCAATGGATTTCAGCGCTACTTCCTTCCGGTTCGTCAATGTCTTCCGGTGGTTTATCTATCCAAAATGGAGCTGCTGAAATAAATTTCAGATATAATCTTAATCCTAGATTTAAATAAAGGTTTAAGAAAAAGGGACACATCTGATCAGTCCAGTTGTTTAATTATTTTATTACAATTTTTTGATTGATGAATAAGACTCTTGAAAATCCTTCGATTTGATTGAATTTCAACAATTTTAAGATGCTGATTTAGTATTTTAGGTAATTACCATTGGTAGTAACATGCATCTGATGAAATAGATGCTGTGATCGACATTCATATATCCCCGCATCTTCTGAACGAACATTTTCGATGATCAGAGCTTTACCGTAGTCAGCTTCTTGTGATTTAAAATCTTTTAAGCGAGCAAGCGGCAAATCATCATTTAATTTACTCCACGTTATGTTCGGTAGTGGCCTGAATTCATTGCAATTTAACAACACTTTGCTGTTTTATACAAATAACAATGATTTAAACGTGCTTGGAGCAAGTTTTATTTAAAAAAAAAAAATGAAATCAGATGACAATGAGCAATAATAAGTTGTAAGAAATTCACCTTCCACCGAAGATGCACATCAGTTTGAGTTTGGTTCCTACTTTGACAGATACTTTTTCTGGACTAAACCACAGCTTATGTATAGCCGTTCCATTGTTTTCTACAAAATGACTTTTTGTGTTCAAAAATATATCTAGATAGATGAAAATTTAAATATTTGAAACTACCAACTTAAAATATGCAAATCAGAAATACTTTTAGCAGGATTGACAATAAGTTGGAATTCGTTGCCTGCACGATATTCCCCACGCAGTACAGGAGAAGTCACTGCGCATTGGTAAATTAAATTTTGCCGCCCGTCATGTTTTTTAACCGCTGTGAAATGAAGGGTACCTACAAAAATGGTGACACAAATTAAAAATCAAAAAAAAAAAAAAGAAAAGCACTAAGTATTGAAAGAAAAAAGTCTTCAACAAAAAAAAAAGAGGTAACAACTTTGATTGTAATTTTAGAAAGTGAAAATGAAGTTATAAACAAACCTTCGGTATCGACAGCAATATGTTTGTATCGAATAGTTTCGATCATATTTGTTCGTTGTGTATCGCGATAAAGCCAAAAAACAGATGGTTTTGGCACCCCATACGGAATATCACATCGAATACTTAAGCTTTGTCCTTCGTCTACTATCAATCGACGCACACCTCGGGGCACAAAATGATCAAGAACTAAATTTGTTGGAGTTTTGAATATATGAACGTTTAAAAATTCAGAAAGAAATTTTGATCGGAAAGCTATAAATTATATCTTTTTTAAATCATCCAAAGCACAAAAATTATGCACACTATTATGAAAACACTAAGTCTTATAAAAATAATTTACAGAAACGAAATATCAGAAAATTGTACTCTCCGATTATTTAAATCATCTCTAATGTACCTCCAAGCAGTTACCTCCAATTTGCACGTGAAATTTATTGGAAACAGCAATCCCAAAAATATTGGAGGCGTGACACTGATAATAACCTTGATCTCCATCTCGAGCGTCATTGATTATTATGGTACCGCTTTGGAATTGTTTTTCCCACGCAATCCTATCACCATCAACTTTTAGTTTTTCTCCATCCTTAAACCACTCATATCTGGAAAAGCAATAAATTAAAAAATTACGAATTTGGGAATGATCAGCAAGCAATACCCTTATTTTTATTGAATCCAAAATTTCATCATAAATGACCAAAATCACTTTAGATTTTAAATAAAAAATTTTTGATATACGACTGAAAACTATGTGAAGCCACTTCCTTTTAAATTGCTTATTCCGACGGATTAATTTTATTAGATACAATGGAACTGTTAAGTTTTCTGTTATTTCATGGATTTGAGATGAAATTATTGTTGTGAAGAACTGTTTTTCCCTCATATTAGGGAATCGTTTAAAACATCAAATACGACTAATTTCATATATATCATTTATAGCCATTTCAGGTCCAATTTGGAAAAAAATAAAGTAAGCCAAGTTTTAAGAAGCCATTAATGAGCATTATCTAGGAAATTTCTTCAAAAACAAAGGAATAATTCTTCGAGTTAAAGAATCAGAAACTTTGGAATTTTCAAGATTTTATGAAGGTTTTATACTAAAGGAAACTTTAAACTGACGTTTCTGGATTACCAGTGGCATAGCACGGAAGAATAAATTTACCACGTGCGATACCGGTCGAATTCACTTGAAACCATACTTCTCCACCATTTTCTGGATCTAGTTTTGGTGGACCTAAAATTTATTCAGCTTAAAAGAAGACGTGAACATAAATGACAGCTAACCATTAGCTTTGATTATCAGAGGTTCAACATCTTAAGTATTAATATAACATTATAAAACTAAACTTATGCTGTGTCTATGCATAATTACTAATATATATTCTATATAATTCTAAAATTCTATATATATATTCATCCAAAAAATGATCACACATATTTCTCCTATAAAAGATCAAAACTATCGCTCATCATTTCAAATTCCGAAAGACCAGTTTACACTTATATTAATCTAAGCTCTTAATCATTTTACTTATTGCTACAAAGTAAAATATTCTTTTGCTGTATTATTGTAATTTGAAAAATGAACAAACCGAGTGTACGGCTGAAAGCAATAAATTGAAAAAGCGAACACCAAAGAATAGATAGCGTAATCATGCCGGTCACTGATATTGTCGCTACACAACTGTTTAAAAACAGGATAGAGCGACCAAAAAGATAAAATTTGATTGCAAATTTAGAGTACAAGTATTTAAAAATTAATTTTAAATCGATTTTCTAACTTGAAAGCTGCAATTAAGTATTCCGGTAAAAAAATTTTTGTCCCAACAAAATTTATTGCCGGCTATTTAGTTTAAAAAAAGTTTTACTAAACTGTTTTCATGTAATCCTCAAATGTGAAGATCCAAAACTTTTCCAAACCGTAAGTCATCCTTCTTAATGGGATTTTCTTAAATGCCAATTTCGTTGTAACATTTGCGGACGTAACCAGTAATTCCTAAGGTTTAAATTTAAAATTCCTAACTTTGAAAGTTTTCAAAATTAAAGCATATTTTCTAGTCTGGACATCAATGTGTCTTTTCATTCCCCAAATTCAGTTATCTTTTTCCTAATTTAAAAATTTTTTTCACCAAGTTTTTAGCTTGAAAATTGTAATTAAGTATTCCGGTAAAAAAATGCTTGCTGTTGCCTTTCACTAAAAAGCAGAACAGATGTTTTTAATATTTTTTTTTTTTTTGAATTAAGCAAGAAATTTTAAGACGGAACAACAAACAAGACAAAGTCTCAACAAGGAAAAGACTAGATTTATCGTTTCATGGGAAATTCGCTGCCTTTCATTGTAGATCCATCGGTGGTTATAAACTGAACGCCTAAATCACTCTTAATTGACTAATTCTTTGAAATAAGCAAAGTCTCTAGCTTAGAATATCAACTATGGGTTTTTTTTTCTCTTTCTAAAAAAAAGAAAAACCAATTTCTCCTCCTAAAGGTGCGTTTTTGCAGGGAGTAACATAAACGAATATTTTTCAGTTCGAGATTCAGTTTTACTTCCAGTTTTCATACTTCCAAAACAAATAAAGTAAAATTTTTATTTGTTAAATGAACACAACATTCGTACTCATTTCTCAACTGTTTCATTCCTATAAAAATTGAGAAATATTCTTCAGATTTTGCTCCAGAATGCATAACTCATTTCAAAGGCTCCAGATAAAACTATTTTTAAGGAAAAAATTTTTGCTGTATATATAATAAGTGATGGTCTGCATATAAATTTCATGAGCAGGTCGTTCTAGTTGAATTCTTCTGAAAATTATGAATATTGAGATCGTTCAAAATTTTGATATGAGTGGTAATAGAAGTTCTCAGCTTCTTTTAAGGTATGAAATGTATATAAGTCATCCATTTTTTTAACACCATAGAAGACCGTCCAACTGATTCAAGTTAAAATGAAATCCAAAGGTAGCGATCCAAAGGCAGCGACTTCTAAGAAATAAATGCCTGATTTCATTTACATTCGATTGACTCCTAATTAACCTTACAAATTAGAAAAAAAAAAATGTTCTTCATGAGATAAAATAATATATGTCCGTTTCCTATTTGCTACCTATTTTAAAAGTTTTATACAATCTAATTTATCTTAGAAATTCACTTTAAAAACTATTAACTAAAAAGCTACTAAAGCAGCAGCAATAAATAAATAACAATAATTGGTAATAATAATAATAAAAATAATAATAATTGGTATTAATGATAATAATAATTGATAATAATAATAATAATTGGTAATAATACATAAATACAAATAGATAAATAATAAATTTATTAAACAAACATTGGAATAGAAGAAATCAATCCAAAACTTGTTTTTTTGTTTTCTGCTGAGCAACGAATCAGAGAGTCAGAAGAAATGTGGAATATTGGGAATTAATTGCAAGTGAGAGTTAAGGCATGGCCAGTATTCGATTGAAGTTTGTGAGGCAAAACAAAGCGTTAGCAATGCACAAATTCAGATTGTTGAAAACTTAGGAAAGAAAGGAGAAGTTATTTTCAGGCTGTAATATTAGAAAACGAGGCCTTCGCTCATGCACTTACATCATCGTCAGACAATACTTATTGTTCTGGTTTAAGACTAACGATGCTAACAAGTAAGTCGTTCACTGAAATGTTCATTTTTTTCGGATAAGTTTTAATTTTAAAAATGCATCGTAAACAGAAACAGTATGTGACGATTGCTTTTTTCTTAATTAAGACATGGAACTGATTCCTGCTTGAAATATAGCATGGCCTTGATTTGAATTTGCAGTACATAAAATTTCCTATTTAATAAGAGAAGGCCGGTTGATTTTTCAATATGGTAATGTTGAAAGTAAATATAATTATCATTAATTTAATTGGAAATAATTTGCTTTGTAGGAATGCACTGAGATCAAATAGGAACGAATTTCATCAGTGATGAAACTTTCTGTAGTTCAATAGAGATATTATGATATAATGATAAGTAGACTGAAATTTAAGTGGAGTGGATAAAGTTCAGATTGTTGAAATAAAAAGAAATTATTCACAGACTTGATTAGTTCTATGATCAGACAAAACGAGATTTTTTTTTAACGTCGAGTTTACAGAACTAGAAATTTGCTTCTAAGGAACTGCATGAAGAAAAACATTTTCTGACTGACGCTGTTTCAGCTTTAAATGATCATTTAGATTACTATTCATAAGTTATTCAACTATATTGGCGACGTGAGTTACATTAAGCTAAAAAGCAGAATTACAGATAATTTCCTTCACGACAAAGCAAGTTGAAAGATTTTACATTAAACAATGGGTTAAGAGTGAAATGTCAAGTAGTTACAAGTCATTCCATAGCTATAATTCAAATAGCTAATGGGCCTAAAGAAAGCAGAATGGATTGTTCCCCTTTCTTGATGACAAAATTTGGAAACCACTGAATTTCTTGAGTCACCAGGTAAAGCCGATATTAATTTCAGAAAAAAGATGAGGAATTGCGAAATATTTAAATTTATTTGGCAGTTGATATCAGCCTTCTAAAAATTAACGGAAATAGTACCATTTTGCATTTTGGAAACAGGTTAAAAATTAAAAAACGAGCAGCAAAGATTATAATGGTGCAGCTAATGAAAAGCTTGCTTAAATAACTGGAGATTAAACCAGATTTACTTGTTGAAAAGATGTAGAAAGCGACAAAATTTGACGCATCTGCTGGGAAGCAATATGATGACGTGTGGTTTGGATTACTAGCTAAAGAATTATGGAGAAACTCAGTGCTTCCTTATGTTAGCTTACCAGAAGCAAATTTCAACAAATAAGATTTAACAAAGAGGCGGAGAGGACCGGCAACATAATGTTAGGCTCTGGAACAGCATGGCTAAATCTCAGTAAATGATGTTGCCAATATATTTTGCTTTACTAAAAGCCTATCGTTTTTGATCTGATTGAAAGCAAGAATTAGTACAATGAGTAATAAAAAATACTGAAATGCTATTTATTATAATTGGTAACTGAGGACCGGCGTGATTTGTGTTTTTTGAAATGTCTTTTCCTTACATATCTATGGTCTCCTTTGAATTATATTTCATTGTTAAGCTGACAGTAGCATGTTTTGTCAAGCTAAATCTGTTCTGACCTCAAATCCTCAGTTTTCCTAGCTGAAATGTGATAAACCTATTTCAAAATACAAATAAAAATTTATGTGAAATCTATAGTGGTATCAGAAATTGGTGGAATTGTCACTGCTTTCCTCTCAGTTATGCTAATGACTTGAAAATTAAGGTATTTACACTCTGGTAAGTTAAAAAATTATAGTCAAAATGAGAATATACATTCAAATCAACATCAAACAAACAAAACTATAAGGAGTAAGTTTACAAAGAGCATAAATTAGAGATGAAGAGACTACATTACTGGAAGAAGAGAGAAGATGAAAGGTACAAAGGAATTTAGAGTTTCAAAATTAGGATATGTTGAGAAAAAACTGACGACCATCAGCATGAAACTAAATTTACCCACTGATATATAAATCCTATAGTATAACGAAGTAATAGGGCCCTCTTCTTTTCTTTTCTTTCTAGTTAAAAAAAGAAGTTTCAATTGTTGTCCACAAATTTCTTTCTATGACTGTACGCAAAGCCATTTTAATACATTTCTTTTTTTTTTTTTGGTAAACCGAATTATCAGGAAAATCCCAAAGATTTTATATAAGTGAACTGAATAAAATCGGTAAAGATTAGCTTCTTCCTTATACAAAACTTGATATGAAGTCCATCTTTTCAATTGTTTCAGTCTTATTTACTTGTTAAGTGATAGCGTCCGATGTTGTTTTGAGTCTTTCGCTGAACTTCCAACTCCTTGTTGAATAACTAACTGCTCAATTCTTTCGTTGATGTCTTGCATTCCGTGAATCTCTCTATTTTATCATTCTCTTATTCTGTGAAAACCTTTATGAAATAATAATAATAAGCCTTATTGTCTCCTTGAATTTTTTTCTAATGTTTCTCTAATTTTCTTCAACATAAAAATAAGTATTGAAAAGTAGACTGCCGTGTCACGTAATATAAAATAAAGGAATGTGTTGCGATTTAAAATTTCACAATATAGCATTTAAAAAGTAGCAAAAAATCTTAATGATCAGCATTGTATATAGTGACAGATAGATGATAATATATGTAATCAAGCTCTATTCTACAATTGAATGCACGCGGGTATATCACAAAACCATAATAAGCTATTGAATTTCAGCGCTTTTAAACCAGTGAAGAAATATTTACATAAATTGCAGAGTATACGTCATCATTTTTCGAAAATATGAAAAAGTGAACAACTTGAATTCCTTTCAGATCCATTAATGTAACAATTCAGAAATTTATGATTACATGTTATTTGAAATAAATATTGAAAAATGGACTCTAGTGTAAGTCACCTAAACTCACGAATTATTTACTTGAGCCTGGAAAAAGTAGAAGCATCCTAGTAATTTCTGATGGCTTGTTATTATTGTATATTTTGAACTTTCGAACACATATTTTAAATGATTTATTTGCAATAATTGATGTTCTTCTTTATTTAAAAATATGACTAATTATTATATAGTAGGCAAAAAATAAAAACAGAAATATTATTTACGTTCAAAATTTTTAAACCAACAGCTGAAAACCAAGCAAGATTTGATTTCAAAATCCTGCACTCAATAAGATTTTGAGATCGCGCATTTCTTATAAGTTTATGTAATTACAAATTACTTTTAATTGGCTCATTTTAAAGGGTCTGGTAAATTGGGAATATAAATTTCTAGCAAATGATCAGGTTTGGTAATGCGCTCAAATTATCGACACTTTTTTATTTTCTAGTTTTAGTTCGTATTTATTTAAAAGTTGTTTGTTTTTGAAACTCTACTGACAATCCTTGAAAATTAGGAATAATGTTTCCGGAATAAAGACTAATGAGGGTCAAAATTTAGGACTTCGATGTTACCTTGAAGTGGGAAACAGTTGTAAAATGAGCGGCCATCTTCTGATGAGTATCGAATTTATTGTAAAGACGAAATCGAAAAGAAAAACATATGACTGTACCTCTGGCATTTTAGGCATTAAAAAAGACCTTCAACTGCATTTCAGTCCCAAATAAAATCAGCTTATATAATCTAAATAAACCTAAATAAGATGTTATATCGCCATTAAAATGATTCCAGAAAAAGAAGTAGCCAACTTAATAAGCAAAGAAATTGCAAATAACTTATTAATCGGTGACAGTCAATAACATCTTCGAAAGCTCAGCAATATCTTTGATATTCCATAACTATCCGTAACAAATAAGATTGTTACGACTTAATTCGAAAACTTGTGGTGCCGAAATTTCTAAATAGAGAAAAAAGACTTTTTCCACAAGTGAAAGTAATGTTAAAAATGTTTCGTTTCAAAAATAGAAAAAATTGGGGCATTAAATGTGCATACTGAGAGAAGCTTGCAGATAGATGCTAATAGATGCTATGAAGAACTTCATAACATTTTGCATGATCTATTCTGTGGGAAGCAAAACTTCAGTGTGTTTAGCAATCTCCTAATAAATAATTACACTAGATGTTGATTTTGAACTTTTTATCTGAAGAGTTAATTTATTACCGATGGTATAACAGTCAGGACATTATCAAATCCGGAGTCAAACAATTTGTACAGTTTGAAGTTATTGCCTATCATATATTTGTGACATAAGAAAGAGAACATGATAAACTTTATCAGATTTTCATTATCTTTTTTTTCTAATTGGCTTCTCCGAATTAAGCCTTCTATTAATATCAACTTTTCAAGGCAACTGTCGTGGAAGCAAATTTTTGTCGTGGACGATTTAATCGTTTAATTATTAATTTTGGGAGAGGTTTTTGATCCCAGGGAGATTGGTTGGATGTAGGTGTAAATACGTAGGGTAGCAGAGAAATAAATCAATTTCTTTATTAGCAGAAGTAATAAGACAATACGTTGATAGAGAACAATTGAAATTGAACTCGTCTGGTTCTTGGCAACAAATTACACATATATTAAAATCTTTTAACAAGGATAACCCTTACACAGCAATTATATCTTACATTGTATGTGTTAAGATGTGGGTGTGGTTTATAATTAGAAATTTTTGTACAAAGGATAAATTGTCTAGACATGATAGTGAGTAACTTTTACAATGGATATCATCAAAGTACAGTGGGTTGTCTAGACATTATAATGGGTGGCTACTATAATGAGTTGCAATAGACATTACATGATAGATGCTCATAGTACATGAATTGATATAAGATCATAAGTCAGTTAAACCATTACGATGATTTGTAAAAGACATCAATGGATTGCTATATAAAGCATTGTTAACATTTATTTAGTGCTTAGCGATGTTAAAATGCACGACAGCAACTTCATTTTATTATAAATTGCAATGTTAATTCAATCTTAATGTTTGTTATTGGTACTGCCGATCTATAGCAAATATGTTATATCAATTTAAATCAGCATTTCCGAGGAAAACTACTTCATTATTTTACTTGTAATGAAAATGGATGTTTTCAATGAAAATTTTTCATGTAAAAGTTGAGAGGGTATAAGGTTTGTCAGAAAGAAAAAGTGAAAGGCGAAAGGATGAAGATGAACAACTGTAGGGAAACAAAGTATGACAACCATATAATAAATTAAAAATAAATTTCACAGATAAATTATTGAAGTAAAAACTGCAAAGTACCATTGCTACTTTCTTTATTTGATGGTACTGCCATTGAAGATGTGTTGCGCATCGTGTCTTGAATAGTTCGATCATTTGATGGGAAAAATGGATTTTGTGGGAATCCAAAACCGAATGGTTGGGTAAACGGTACTTCCTACAAAGACAAAGAAATTAGATTGGTCGAGTGTTTCTAAAAAAATAGGGAATGTTTGGATTTATCATGCTTAATTTGCTATTCTGCCCAAATCATACTATAAATCATCAAAATGCAGTTTTTTTGATACTACAAGAAAGGTTTTTTCAAGACTCACCAACTGTTTGAAAAAATTTTCCGCTTGCTCTTCTCTCAGTCGACGTTCTTCTTCTTTTTTTCGATAGTAAGAAGCGAACTCATTTTTGCTCACAATACCATCACCTAGCGAAATAAGACAAATAGCATTAATATTAAAATAAATCATTACGCATCACGGATAATTAAAATTTAAGAAAGTGGGCAGTGGTCTTTTTGGTATGAAATCCGCTTCAAGGAAAAGAATTTTTACCGGTGAAAATTTTCAAAATTTCTCATTCTTGGATCTGAGAAAAATTTTGGACAAAGATATTTTAGGAAAAAGTACCATTTAAATCTTGTCTGTGATACAATCGTGATTTATCCTCAATGTATGGCCGATCAGCTAGTATAAATTCCGCAAAGGTAATTTGTTGATCACCGTTTGCATCGATACGTCTAAATTCTGAACAAAAAAGACTTGAATTGATGTAATCTATTAATAATTAACTTGGAAAGAAACATGAGTTAAAATAAATATGAAAGCTATAAATTTGAAAATAACTCTACTCCAGCAGTATTTCCAGTTAAAGCAAAACAAGTCCTTGTGATGAAGAAAACTTTAATTTCATAGCAATTGCAAAGCGATATAAAATATTGCTGAAGCTGAAATGTCCTTTCTTGTAAGGCCATCGCTAAAACACTACGTAAGATCGCCTTCAGAGATACTCTCATGAAACCAATAACTATTCCCTTTTCATTATAATAGTGTTGTTAAAATGTATTAAAGCAAAATTTGAATTCAAACCATCAAATCTTGGACTAAAGTCATCAGCAGGTATAGGAGTAATTTCAACAGGTATTGGTGAAGCATGTGAATTCAGAATAGATGTTGGTGAAGGAAGTAATGCAACTGCGATCGTTTCTGATTTCGTTTCACAAGTAATTATTTCCACAGTGACCAGTAAAACTATGAGCAATTTCGTCCTGTACTTTTTCATTGTTAATGCTACTGAAAGGAGTATCTGAGTGAGACAAAGCTTTTATCTTACATATTAAATATTTCAGATCGGCATCCAAATAATTTGGATGTTTTATGTTAAATTACTTTTCTCCAAAACTAATAAATGCCATTTTATGTACTGGTATAGTAATGCAGTTACCTCCTCATAATTTTTGCGGGAACTGAAGTTAAATTTTTAAAAAATCCCTGAGAACTTTATATTAGACAAACATTTAAAACTTGTAGCAAATCATTACTTGAGCAATTCTTTGCGCTAATGAATGAAATAACGGAAGAATAAATATAAAACTATTGCGCTGAAAAGAGTTCATAATTTGGTAAGTCTACTGCCGCGGTATTTATATGGGGTAAACTTCCACAGAGCTAATTACGCTAAAAGCTGATATCTTATTTGTTGCGTAGTTAGTAGTGGAAAAATAATTGATGAAAGAAGGGCTATAATTTCCCGTCCAACAATCTCCGTCCTACATTTGCGCTAATTAACATATTTTTCGCACTTTTTTATCATTTTAAATGTGTCTTCCCAACCATAAATCTCATTCCATATGCATCGTAAAACTAACAGGTTGTTTTTCAGCTTGAAATTCCCTTCCTAAAAGTATATTCTCAGTCTTTCTGTATAAATTAAAAAATTGTTCATGTCGACTAGTACACATTGTTAGTAGAATTTATCAAAATTTATAGCGTTGTGGGCAAAACTGGATTATATAATACACGGATTATAGGCCACTCTGTGCTGCACTACTAAAGAGCAATACTGAAACTACGTTGCTAGTCATCGCAACTTTTTTTACTTCCTCGGTCTTTCAATTGTCTCATGTGTTCCTTCCACTTTCTCGCTGTCTTTTTCCAAAATTGAGATGCTAAGTATTGTAATCTCGGGATTCGAGAATTCATTCCAAAAACTAGTGGATAATTTCAAAAATACATACTTCCATACACTATGGACTTCTTAAAGCCTGAATTTTACCATAACTTTCCCGTATCTTATTTTTGTCTGTCAACGTTTACAAAACCGTACATTGAAGATACAATCCAGCGCTTTATAGATATTACAGCTCTTCTGCGTGTGCAAAAATTTTGGTAGAAATGAATTCACTTTTTTGTGTTTCAAAAGCATTTATTTTTTAACTAAAAGACCATAAAACAAATAAAAAGTCCAACAACGATGAACAAAATGTTTTCTTAACCAAGCGGGCTACCGGGACCTCTATAACTTTTCTACTTCCCTGGCGGTATTTTCGCTAGAATACCTCATCCATGTGTGCAAAAAAGAAACTTTGCAATGTTTTGGAACACAGCAGCAGTGCAATTAAACTTGGAATGAAGCCGTGCAGTCAAAAGAAAAAGTGCTACAGTTTATTAAGTGGTGATCGATCAAGTGAAATGAATGAATTTAAAAAGAGATACGTGACGGAACAAGCGATATGCTATAAAATAGAAGCAGGAAGAAACAACCGGCAATTTGTACTGCCACATAAACATTTCTTGAGACAAAATTCTGAGGTACTGGCACCATAGTCGTAGGTGAGCTCTTCGTAAGCAGCTATATCACGAAGTGCAAACAGTCCAACGTGTATCTGTGGAGTACCATACCTCACAAGGATCATTATCAAGTTAGGATTACAACCGTGATTTATAAATCGTGACTGATTCCCACGAATTGATGGGTCGATATATGTCACTTCAGTGTGATCTAAATTCATTCATTAAATGATACAATAAGTCAATCTTATTGGAACAGATAAAATTGTTAAAGAAAAACCTCCAATTTCAAGACCGGTTAAAAGAAATAAACTTAACAAAAATAAGAGAAAACTGGAGCGGATACACAGGAAAACAAACAAGAGCAGTTTTTTTAAACAAATTATTGAGATACCATAACAAAAAATTAACTACCTCGGAAAATTTCTTTAATGGTGAGAACATAATTTGTATCGGATTGACGCTTCTTCACTTCATCTGGTCCAATTACTTCTCCAATATATTCAATAACAAAACGACCTTTTTCAATTAGCTCTCTACACTGTAAACCATAACCTTTTTCACCAGCATCAAAGATCTGAAATTGAGATGAACTCCAAATAGGATAAAGGAAATTTTTTCGAATCTAAAACAAAAACTAACATTGAGAGGAAGTGAACAGCCCAACTGTACACATCTATTTTTACACTTATCCGGAAAGAATGAACAAGAACATTCAGTAGAACACTCCAGAATTGGCAAATTGCTGTCAACATCCTTAATGAAAATTTGGTCTATGAATATATCCTGAAAATTTCTCAGCAAATCATTCAAATAAAATCACTGCAATTCTTCGATAAAATACAAGAATTATTGATTATCAGCAGTTCTTTTTCTGATATAACGAATGAGTTGCATAAAATTTCAATAATTTACAAAACTTCAAGAACAACTATCAAAAAAGTTCGAAAATTCAGATAAAACTATGCAAGAAAGAAATACCAACATAATAGTGTGGCAAAGTAAGACTTGCCTGTTTGTACAGAAGACAGGTGCAACCAGTACTTGCTTTGCATGGTCCCGTGCAGCTACATCCTTTATATACCGTCTCGAAATTCACTGAATTGCCACCCGGACCGCATTCCAAACTTTCTATTTGAATATATTCCATCCCAATCGAAACTTCGAGAATCTCAAGAATGACCCACAATGTCTACATTAATTTGCACAATGCCTCAAGCACTACCAGTTACGGGCCACCCACTCCGTTGAAATGGTGTAGGAGGTGGAAAAGACGAAGAGGTGAGTATTTCGGGAATGAGGGAGTCGTCGTCCTCGTTCGATCCTTACTCTTGGAGGAATTTTTATTTCCATGTTGGTCGAGAGGAAGCAACACGACTATTATGTCAGTCCGATTCTGATCTCGGCACATTCCTTATCCGAGATTCTACAACTCCGGGAAGCTATGCTTTAAGCGTTAGGTAATAACATCATGTACTTTAGTTTTATTTAGTCGGATATGGTACGTTACTTCACTTTAAATATTTTTTCAGTCACTTGGTCGAAATTCTACTCTCACTTCAGTTCCATAACATTGTACAGATTTCACTATTGTAGAGAAGAACTGTCCGGTGATCAGCAGGTCCGACATTATCTAATTGAGCCCGTTGAAGCGGATAATGGCAAAATGAATGTGAAAGTAGGTATACAATTTGTCAAGGAATAATACATTTTATTAAGGTTATATTTTCTCGAAGTTGGCTTGTTTGTACTGTAAACAATTATAACTGGAACTGCAGATAGCCGATCAGTACTTTGTTGACATTCCTGCCTTGCTTAACCATTTCAAAATGAGAATTTTGGCGAATGTAAGTTTGGTGTGTCCGCTCCGAAAAACCGCAATTAATAGGGTACGTTCCTTCATTTTCTTTCGTTTGTTTTATCCTTTGTTTCTTTTTTTTTTCTGTTGTTAAATAGAATTTTGGAATGAAATTTCTTTGGTATTACTACTTATCCATAGCAGTATTTTTACTCTCGGTTTCTTTTTTGGCTAGCATGTGAATTTTGATCTTACCAAAGCGTATAATGAATTGAGAATGATGAATAGAAGGGCTGAAACCTTCTTTCTTATCTTTATCTAGTATGTAATTCCATTCTTCTTTTTCTTTAACGTCCGGTTTTTTCAGATGATTGCTTTATACTCATTTGAGGGACAAGAGCCAGCGGATCTGTCATTTGAGAAGAATGAAATTCTTGATATAATCGAAAAACCACAGGAAGAATGGTGGGAAGCTCGAAATGCTTTGGGTAATGTTGGCCTTGTCCCTGGAAATTACTTGGTGAGGCTTTCAATTACGTTCTCATTCATGGAGATGCTTCTGTAGTTCATTGGTTTCTACATGCAATTTCTACATGTTCTAGCGTACACCTAATAGTTTCTAATTAGTTCAAATTTTCTAGTTCCAGGCACAATTTGACGAAGTTCTAATGCAGAGAGACAGTCCTGATTCTTTAGTATCGTCAGAGAATCGTTTAAGCGGTGCTTCCGTTCTTAGTGATATTAATGACGATGTTTTGAACAATGCGCAACTTTCTGAAACGGTTAGCACACAAGTAAACTTTATTATCATGTAAATATATGAGTGTAATAGTTGTTATCACTAACTTTTCATGGTTCGCATAAACTTATTTCATTACAGCCAAACATGCCAACACTGGCGCGTGTAATCCTGGATAGGCGACCAAATGTGTACGATACGGAAGCGTTGCGTTTGAAGGTTCCTTTTTTTCTAAAATTTGACATCTTTGTCGGAAAGTTGATTGAACGAAGTAGTCTAACGATTAGAATAAAGTGTGTTTCTTGATTACTTTTTTCATTGCTGTTCTTGGTGTTCGCACAACCACTGATAGCCTCTTTGGGCAGTATTCCGGACATCTTCCTTGCAGTAAGTTTCATTTTCCTTGTTAAGAATAAAGTATGCTCCTTGATTACTTTTCATTGCATTATGCATTGTAATTTCAAATGGTCTTCGTTATAGAAAGGTGATTTGCTGAAAGTAACCAAGTTACATCCGTCCGGCATTTGCGAAGGAATCTTGAATGGTAAGAAAGGTACTTTCCCGTTTACATATGTGGAATTTGTGGGCGACACAGATACAGCAGCAACACCTACTCCCGTATAGCAGACAGTTTTTTCTTCATTTCATTTTTTTTTTTCTTGTAATTATTTGCGGTTTTTTGCTTTTCAGTATTTTATACTTTCTCTGGGTTTTCTTCATTGTTTTCAAACGATTTTTAATGGATTTACCATCTGATTTGTATGTTATGTATAACATATATGGTAATGAAAAATTTGGTAGCTCTCTGTATTTCTACTTCTCAATCTTTATCTGATTGCTTTTCTTACATTTATTATGACTTATGGTGCATAAAACACAACTAACGTGTATTCTAATTTTTATAAATAGAGCCGGATAGTATGGCTTCTAATAATGGACACTTGGTTTTATTTGTCACTTAAAATGTACTTGCAGGAAAAGTATGAATTAGATTATTTTTTGTAACATTATATTACATCATGGAAAGGTTAAGAATAAAATAGGAGTGCAAAGTCTGTTAGCATGTTAGTGCAGACATAGTGATAATCAAACATTTTTAATCAAGTTGATTCTGAAGTCACATTTCATCCTGTCTAGCACGCATAGCTTGCTTCATATTACTGCAGAGCAAGAAGGGAAGGGAACAGCATGTTGGAAATAAATACTTTGTGAATTCGTTGATGCTTATTATTTTGTGTACTAAATCTAGAATTTCAACTTCATTTTTTGGATGCTGACCTACTATCTTATGAACTTTCCTCATGTTACAGCAGACTGAGGAGTATAGCAATACTGTCATTTGTAAACACTGTTTTATGACAGTATTGTGACGATGTAAATTAAAAATAACTTTGAATTACGTATGATAAGTGTCGTAATTATTTTCAATCTTGTTTATATGGTGTGGCAATAGATTTGTAATTCAATAGGTAGAAGTCTAGATTTGCTGGAGTGCAGTATTCCTACTTATCTTTTCAAACCGCGCTGGTGATGCTCTGTGAGCTACTTTGTTGTTGTGAACAGTTTTTAGCCCCGTAGCAAAGGATGGTTTTCCGCATAGGGGGCTGACTGACTGCCATTGTGGATTGTTAGGAAGTGTGCGTGGAAATTGAAATTGGTGTATTTGGAATCAGTTGGTATTTTCGAACTAATATGCCATAATCCTAAGAAGTTGCTGCTTAAAATTTTTATATTTTGTGATCAGTTATATCAATTTTTGAACGAAATGGTCATCCTTCAAGCCTGATATTGGATTTAGACCACTAAGTCGTTCTCCAACATGTTCGATTATGAGATGAATATATGGGTAGGATATGGTCGTCTCAAATTCGCTACTCGTCGGAATACCATAGGTTTGTCGGGAATATCCTCATTACTGGAAGTGCTGATTAATTGCTGACATGCACGTCGCCATCTAGTAACTGCTGGATGTAATGCTGCAACACACAAAACTGATAAATGGTTTAAATAGAGTGGTAGGAGTTGAGTGAGGTTTGTTGTCTGGCTGTATGCCAGGAGGTGTCTTGATACGCGTTACGGGCGCGTTGCGTGTGTATATGTTAACAAATTTTAGATTAATTAAAGGTGATCTGGTTATCATCCAGGCTTGTCTTCATCACTACAGTAGTTGCAATTGTTTTTCGTATTTTATATGCCATAGTTTACTTGTGCTCAAATAGTCAAGTGTGCTATGAAGTGCGCAGTGGTGTGATCGTCAGACCCTTTACTAGTATTTCTTGATAATTCGGTGTTTTACACAGCTTGATCATTTTACAGTTGTTGCTTTCCTTTAGCTCGTACCCAGTTCTCTCTCCTGCTTATTTTGTTCTATAAAACAAAATAGGAATAAATTCCTAATATAGCGTATGGCATGTGTGAAATGCTGGATCGTGAATTTCTTGATGCACTATTCAGGATATATAATTTTGTGCACTTGTTAATTGAATACTGTCTATTTTAAATGGACTGTCTTCATAACACTGATCGAAGTACTGAAGTATATCACTGTGAAATATAAATTGTTGGGTTGCTGTTTTGCTTTTATGATCTGTAATCTAGGAAAATACGTAAGTTCTGCGTTGAAACTGTCATTTAAGTGCTTACCTTGTATGTTGTCTTCAACAAAACTGTAGGTGCATTTTTTTTATTGCAATGTCGAAATCTTCATGCTTAAAAACTTCCGATTTACATCGAAAGTAATGGGAATCTACGTATCCCAAGATTTGTGAAGTAAGATGAGTATAATTTTTGCAAATCTTGTTAAAGGAAGTTCTGTGTTTTGAGGCGGTGAGTAGGAACTTGTTAAATTATTTCAAAATCGTCTTGACGAATAAAAATCTCATGCAGTTTGGTGTTTGTTGGCTGGGCGAAAGCGATGGGAGGACAAGTAGCAAAAGGGACATAAATAATGTGGTAGCGAAGGATCAATTTGAGCATTTTTCTTTTTTAGGTTTTTTCTATAATGAATTTAGCAAGTGGGAATTAAGAATAAGCATGTGCTTTTTTTGACCTCTGCGCCGAAATGTTTGATAGCATCCACATATTGTGAGCGAAAGCTAATGTTAACATCTCCCGCAATTGGATTCTGGTTGGAGGCGTTACTGAAACTGTAATTTTCCTCCTGCCTCAGTGGTCCGTCTTGCCCTTATTGCTTTCTGGTAAATATCTCCGTATTAAGCACGATGCTTGCTTGTTTTTTATGGCTGTGTTTTTTAAATATATTGCTCACACCATTACTTTAATTAGGCAAAATCGCCTACAAAACAAACAGCAGCTAACATTGACCTCTCTGATTTTGAGGAGAATTGTTAGTATCTTGTTTTATTGAGCAGATTTTTTCATTTCTAAACTATAATGAGTTATGTACAGTGGCGGATAGTTTTTAGGATGTTTCAGTTTCAGTGCAAGCAAAATAGATCTGAAAATACTCTTATAGTCCGGTTCATTTTTCAGGAACTCACGTTACTTGAATTTCCGATGACGTGACTTTTTCCGCTTCGTTGGATCATTGTGGAAAATTAATTTTAATACTGTTGTTAATGCTCATTTTCTTTAGTGAAAATGTGTGAAGAAGAGAGTGATTCCTTACGCTATTCATAGGAATATGATGTCTTCGAGCGGGTTTCGTCCTTTTGATGATCTTTCCGAGTAAGTTGTTTCCCCATAATTATCGAAATTTTTGATTTCTCATTCAGCGTATTTCTGTCGAGATGCCCATCTTTAAAGTAGTTGCTAATAGTTTTAATTGTGTGATGAAGCACTAAAATTCGAAGTGTTTTTTATTCTAAAATATCAAGAGTTTGATCTATTGCATGTTTTTTATGAGATTAATATATATATATATATATATTAATAGACTTGTAATAAACTTTATCTAATACCTTGCCAGTATATCTTTGTTTGTTATATATCTACTTTATATCTAAGTATCGTAGATAAAGCTTATTATATCTAGAACAGTCTTCATAGTTTCGCATACGTTCTTGATGTTAAAATTAAGTGGCTTGTGTAGATACAGCTCTTACAGTAAGCAACATTCATTTTGCAGGCATTATGAAGATGAATGGCTACAGTTGGGTCTAGAAGATGAAACTTTGAAATGTAGTAGTCCTCCTGCAACTGGAACTGTCGATTTTGGTCTTACTGTATCGACGAGATCCTGTCCATCGCCACTGAGCCATATCCCCACTCGCGAACCTTACCCTTCCGAGCCTCCACCCAAACTGTCCCCAATATCTGCGGAGCAACAGACTTTCATCACTTTAAGCAATAGTCGTATTCCTTCAGTACCTCCTGGGCCTTCGCAGTCTATTTTGCAACCTGCACCACAAGTCCAGTCATCCGAGCTAACCAGTGTCGAATATGAACTAAATCCTGATTTGAGCGTCCTATCGATACCCTCCAGTTCTCCACTTCTGGTTACTAAACCAACGGAATTGCAGTTTACCCAGCCCTCTGTTTCAGGTCTCCATCAAAATGGAGATTTTGCATCGTTTGTACAACTCGAACAAAGGGAAAAAAGTATGCACTTGGCTTATGATTTAAGGAGGAACTGAATTTTTTTCTAATGCACTAGTATTTTTTCTGTACTAATCTGGATCACACAGATCTCGACTTAATTGATCAGTTCATGGAGTTTTGTTTTTTAACATCGATTTTCATCTTAATGCATGTTTAGGAACAGTTATTCAACCTCAACAGCATCCTCCCGGATGTGTGCAAGCTGTTAATGGACAGTGGTTTGTACAGGCTCAAGTGCAACAAGTTCAGACTAGTGCAGGAACAGTTATAGCTGTAGTGCCAAATTTTTGTCGATCACAGGCGCAACCAGCAGGAACCAGTCAAAACCTGTCGCAAGCGCAAGTTTCGCAGTCGCAGTTGATTGCACACCCCATAGGAAATGGACAGGCTGTTAACAATGCTCAACCTACTACAGTCGCTACACAACATGTGATGCAGAATCATTCGCACCATCAGATCCAGCAGCAGCAGCAACCACAACAAATCGTACATGCTGCCCGCATGCCCCGTTCACTTACCGTGGGCGTTGCATCCGGTGCGCCACAACAGAGCCACTCTGTTATGCAGCATTTATTATCACAACCAGCTATTTCTCGTTCGCAAGTTGTAAGTTTTTACAAAGAGAAAAATAGTTTTTTTTTTTCAGTTAATTTAGCTGTTCATTCTGGAAAAGATAAACTAGGTTAGTTCTTAGAGAACGTCACTAGTCCCTTTCAACTCTTCGGCCGAATCTTGGATGCAGCTGCGCATATACCAAAATATTACGTTGAATAATCCATCATTTCTTGTAGCGTAGCGCCTAATTATTCTAAACTCTGCCCGATCGCATGTAATATATGTAGCGATAGTAATGAAGGTGGTATACATTTTTTATTGTTTAAGCAGACAACAGTTCAACCAGTGACTTCAGTTCCACCAACCACCAAAAAACAACGGAATTCTCAACCTCGAAATGGACGCAGAAAGGTCTTTAAACTTTTAACTGTTCACTATTTTGTATTATAACAGTGTAATTTCCTTCATAATACTTTCCTCTAATATTTTTCGATAAGGAAGAACCTAGG